TTAGTTTTGGTAAAGATCTGTTGGGAGGTTTCCTTGTTGAAACTGTTGAAAGAAAGTTTTTTTGACGATTTTTGTAAAGCTTTGTGCGACGACTGATTTCATGGTCTGAAATAACATGCTAAATTATAGACCTAAAATAATTGGTTGAATTATAAAAACTCATCAAAATTAGGAGTTAGAACTGCTAATTATCATTTACGTTCACACTCCAGTAAAATATATTTTTAGAAAACGAAGTATAATAAAATGTGTTAAATAAAATAATTTAATTTACACAATTGTAGATAATTATTATTTGTTTGTGAACATTTGTAATATTAATAGAATATCGCATTGATTAGGTTTTAGTATGCAAAATACTAAACTCACAACAATTTTTTAATCATGCATTTACATTGTTTATTGAAAACTTGATTTTTTCAGTTACAAATATTTCACCATCAATGTTCGGAAACACACTGGCTGAAGTTATGGAGTTACAAAAGCTTAAATTCCCTCACAAAAAATTACCCTGGGTTCAAGTTGCTTTATCTGAACAAGTAAGAGATTTACTTTATCATAGTGTATTTTGTTTATCATAGTTAAAATTTCATTAAATATACTTAATATTTTTAAGATATGACTTTTATAATATGACTTTTTTATTCTAGGTTTTACGATTGAATGGCTTTCAAACAGAAGGTATATTCAGAGTATCAGCTGATGTAGATGAAGTAAATACGTTGAAAAGCAAATTAGATAAATGGGAGTTACCAGAATTAAGCAGTAGTATGGGTCAGTTTGTTTCCATTTTTGGCCAAAGATTCTAACTTTTGAACAATCAATAATATTTTGTATTAAATTTTAAGATGCCCATGCTCCAGCAAGCTTACTAAACTTTGGTACAGGGAATTGTATGAGCCTCTCATACCTGATGTTTTGTATAATGAATGTGTCACTACTGAAACGCCACAACATGCTAATGATATAGTAAACAGATTACCTGCATTAAACCGAGTGGTAAGCAACTAATTATTTATTTAAATGACCGACATAGTGACTTTCAGCCTTATTGTTTTAATTATTATAGCACAAAATTATTTTTTCTAACAATAATTTGATAAATACTCAACTAAATTTATTATAAACAAACTCTACAAAAGTATCAAACTGTATTAAAATGTGATCGATTATAAATTACAAAGTTCATTAATATTTAGCTTTATACTTTTGTTCAGAGTTTATATTTGTTAAATTAAATTCTACAATCGTGATTAAATTCCTTTTTCAAAGTTATCTATATATTTTTTTTATTGATATTATAAATAGCAATCAAAATTATACAATTTTATAGGCTAGTAGCATATGATTAAAATAAAGCTGATAATATTATTAAAATATATATATATAAAATAATTATCTGTTTGTTTTTATTTATATTCGAATTTAATATTTTGGAAACGCCGCCCTGAGGAGGCGCGCCCCACGAGTTGTAATTCACTGGACTAATATGTTGAAAGCATTTATAGCAGTAATATTATTATATAATATTTATTTTATAGGTTCTTATATATTTGGTCCATTTTTTGCAACTATTCTCTCAACCTGATGTTGTGGCAAGTACGAAAATGGACTCAGCAAATTTGGCCATGGTGTTTGCTCCCAATTGTTTGAGATGCACATCATCTGATCCTCGAATAATATTAGAAAATGCCAGAAAGGAAATGGCCTTTATGCGTATGCTAATACAGCATTTGGATACTAGTGAAGTTAAAGATGTAACATAATTAGCACTCTTATTATTTATTTATATACTATTTTATTGACATCAATATACCAAAGAATATGACGTCATATTGCAACATTTGCTCTCAAATAATATTTACACTTAGTTATGTAAGAAAATGTTAATGTATCTGATCGCTTTGTGATATATTAATCAAATACCAACAAAATCAGAGTAAATAATTATAGTATTTATAAAATATTTGCATCAGTAATTTGCAAATAACAGAATAGTTTTATATGTTTGATTAATCAATCATATATTTATGTTAAGATAATTTATTATGGAAGGTGATTACTGATAGTGTTAAAGAATCTTAAAAATTGCTGACTTGAATGTTTTTTATCAGCATTTATTTTATTACAAACATTTCTTATATCTGAAATGAAACTAGTCGTATTGGTAGTATATCAATACTGAATATCTAACTTTAATGTATATATTTTACAATTATTTACCATTTTGCAAAAACATAGAATCTCATATTTTGTTTTATGTAAATAATAAACAGTAGCATAATAATATGTGGGTTTTACTTCAATTGTTTGAACTGCATTTTACAAAATATTTTTTACAGGAATTTAAGAGTATTTATTCTTTGGAAGCAAGCCTTTTTATTTTAACCTACCTCAAATATTCTTATAGGTTTCTATTTGAATTATCTTTTGCAATTAGTTTCTGAAAAATATAATTTAACCCAATAATTCAAAGAACAGATTTATTGTAAAATTATAGAACTCATTTATTATGTTCTATTTATTATGTACAATTTAAGAGCATCATCACGATAAAAAAAATACTTAAAAGTATATTTTACATCTACTAATTTAAAAAAACTAACATATATAGATAATATGTCTATCACAATCTTAGCTTTTGAAAGGTACTCCTTAGAGCATCTCCACTTCGCCAATATATAATTTTACAGTATAAAATAACATTTCATATAATTAATGCATTAAATTAACCTTTACAATTATATGAATAATCGTAAATTCATATATATGTGTAAATATTATTAATCACATTTCATTGATATCTTAAAATATAAAAATTATGAGACTTTGTTTTAAATTGTCCATATTGTATTCAGCTCATATAAAACAAATTAAAATAAATTAAACTAAACAAAGTTCTTTTTCTGATAAGTTCAGATTATAAATGCAGTAAGAGTTCATTAGGAATTAAGGCCCTGCCCTAATTCAATTATTGGGATTCTTTCTTGAATATTCCACAAAATCTTTAAACGCCTGTTGCATTTCAGCTCCTAGTTCATTGTCCGGGTCCCACAAAGTATCATCATCAACTTCAGCCTTCGAATTGTCGTTAAGATTACAGTATAAAAAGGAAGTTTCCTCAGCAGTCAACACTTCCCCATCTGGTCCATAATAGACTGTATCATCGATATCAGTAATTTCCGAGTTGTACTCCGAATATCCAATGCATTCGGCATCACCACTAGCTCCCGGGTCACTTTCTTGGCTGTCACCACTATCAGACACGTAACCCCACCCACTACTAGAAAGATTTAATACACTTTGAATTAGTATTGATGTTTTGGACTTGTTGTCCGTCATCTTGTGTTTAAGGTCCTTAAGTAAGCGTTCCATAAGTTTAGGGCAAGCTAAATGCATATAATAACCACTTAGCTTCAGTGCTTGGCAGACTGCCTTGATATTATTCTCTTGGCTAAAATTCAAATTGATCACATCAGTCATAGTCTGAAATATTAACTCCATGAACTCTACTAAGTCTTTTAATGGCAACTTTCTCTCGCGAACAAAATTGTAGAGCAATTCACAGCAAGTGGTAACCAGTCCTACCATAAATGAAGAATCTTGAGACTTATCTGTGTCTTTTCTATATTGTAGATACAAATGCCCACACTGTTCTATAACCATTTGATGGAATTTAGGGGCCGTTTCATCAACGAGTGCACAAAGTCTAGCGCAACTGTACTGGAAATGTGGTCGTTTTATTGCTTCAGTAACGGCAAGCTTTGTAAGTCTGTCTAACATCATAGAGTCATTTGCACCTATAGCAGCTATCTCCGCTACAGTCGCCCTTACACTATCAAAGTTGGCGCTACTCGCCTGGAGCTCGTCCATGATGTGAATAAATTTAGTTACGGGGTTTGAAGCAGTATCCGAAGAGCCCAAACCTCTGCGCCCAACTTTTAACCGATCAGATATCGACGATTTGAAAGGGCGAGGGCTATAGTAAGGCGAGTCTCCAGCTCCAAAATTATGCTGAAGATGGCTAACTGGCGTAAACACAGTATTGTCCCTTGGGATGAACTCCTCAGCAAATGGTGACAGCGTAGATTGCGCTGCCAAAGACTGCGCACTGGCAGAGCAGCCCATGTCAGGACGATAGTCTGACGCTGCTTTTTTGCCGACCAAATGTCTGGGAGCTCTAATTTGACTAGCGTGTCTGGGCGGCTCGACTTGCCTTGCACTTTCAGTTCTAGTATTATGCATGCGTAAATGGGATGGGGGTGGTGCGCGCGGGTATCTAATTGATGGAGCCCTAAACTCTCTTCGCTCTGCTTCGCTATCATCATCCTTAACCTTCCGTGAGTAAGCAGATTTATCTTCAGTGTCACTCATCTTGTTCACCTAGCGAGTAAAGTTTCTCGTTACAAATATCGTCAAACAAACATGTCACGTGAAAAACGAATTATCTATTTAGTATTGAAATAAGTAGTAAATGGCTAATCTATTACACATACACAATGGAATTCAAATGAAAAAAATAAAGTGCGATGGCTTACTAGTATATATGTAAGTTTACATACCTACTGTCATTCACTACTTTAATGTTGAATTATTTTAAACCGAAATGTGGTTACCGTATTTTATTTACAGTTAACAAAATAACTATCTTCGATTATATCAAGAAACAAAACACAACTTGCGCTTGTGATCAGATGCACGTAACCATAATAATTGTACAAGGAGATCAAACATCTAACTTGCTTGCAAGTGGCAGAGAATAAATTTCGCTACCAACCTTGTAAAAACATGTCAATAGCATGAATTTAGTGACATAAGAAAATTTCCTAAGGCGGATATACATCGGTGTATGAAAATTATGACAAGAGGATAACAATTAACGAGCGATTAATTAGTGAATTATAACTAGTTGAACAAATAAAAGCTACAATCCTTAGATATTACTTTCGAAGATAAGCAAAACTGTAAAACTAACAAAAACTTGTTTGAACTTACATCGAACTGAAAATTTACAAAATGTTCAATTGAATTCATTTATTGAATAAATATTCATTTAGCCAATGAATCAAATTTTATATTATACTCTTCCTTTGTCTATGCTAAGAACTTATATTTGTGCAAAATTAGATACTGTTTGTATAAATGAAATTTAGAATTGAATTAAGCAGAAAATGGCTAAATTATTAAACACACACAATGGAATATCGAATAAAAATATAACGTGCAAAGTCTTTTTTCTAGTTACATACCTTCTGATAATAACTAAACAAACTTGTGATTAGTTTATACCGAAATGTAATTCTACACGTTTGTTGATATCACTAACTTTGATTATTAAGTATATTATATATACGATTGTAAATAAAACACCACTTGAGCTTGCAATCAAATGCACATAACCAAGGAGAGTTATTTCCGAACAAATGTAATATTTATGTATATTTATCAATGCACGTAACCATGATTATTGAACAAGGAGATCAAAAACATCTATCCATAGATAAAAGATGAGTATAAAAGATAATCTATCTTGAAGTGACACAGAGTAAATTTCGCTACCAACCTTGTAAAAACTTGTCAATTGCATTAATTTAGCGACCTAAGAAAATTTCCTAAGGCGGATATACATCTGTATATGAAAATTTTGACAAGAAGAAGATAACAATTAACTATTAGCGAATCAAAGCCTTTTATCTCATTTTTATTCACAAAATTTTTGAAATAAATGACAAAAGTTAGAGTTTAACAATAATTAAAAGATAAGCAAAACTGTAAAACTAACAAAAATTAGTTTGAACTTACATCGAACTGAAAATTTACAAAATATTCAATCAAATTAATTTATTCTAAATACTAAGAACCATTAAATAAAAAATTATATTATCCTTTTCTTCTATCATTGCTAATAACTTATAGTTGCGCAAATTTTAAGCACGAACTGTCGGTGGCGAAATCTTTGCATTAGCCATGTTTGACAATTTAGAGCTTTCAAAATATTTACTTTGTTACCTTAGTTAAATAAAGAATATATGCGGTTGTACTTATTATAGACTATTTACGTCGAAACAGAAGTTATATATTGTTTGTAAAAAATGAATTTAAAATTGAAGTGGACAATGGCTAAATTATTAAACACATACAATGGTATTTCGAATGAAAAAATAATGTGCCATGTCTTTTTTTTAGAATATACATAAATTTACATACCTTCTGATACTAAACACACAAAAGTTCAATTAAAGCACACGGAAATGTAATTTCTATACTTTCTTGAAGTCACTAACTGCGATTATATTAGAAAACAAAACACCTTCGTTTGTGAAAAAATGCACGTAATCATAATCATTGAACAAGGAGATCAAACATGTACCCATAGACAAAAGAGTGTATAAAAGAGGATCTACCTTTCAAGTGGCACAGATTAAATTTCGCTACCAAACTAGCCAATAGAATGAATTTAGCGACATAAGAAAATTTCCTAAGGCGGATATACATCGGTGTATGAAAATCGTGACAATAAGAGGATGACAACTATCAGCCAATCAAAGCTTCCCCATTTATATTCGCAAAATTCTTGAAATAAATTGCATTAATAATAGTCGAATGAAAAAAGCTACGATCCTTGTTAGATATTAATTTCGAAGATAAGCAAAACTGTAAAATTACCAAAAACTTCAAACTGATAATTTACGATACTATATTCATATAAATTCATTTATTCTTAGTTGTAAGTGAAATTTTTGGATCAGCCATGTTTGATAGTATTAGAGCTTTCAGAATATTAACCTTGTTACCTTAGTTGGAAGAAAAATACATGCGGCTGTACTTATTATAGACTATTTATGTCGAAACAGAAGTTATATATTGTTTGTGTAAATGGAATTTAGAATTGAAATAAGTGGACAATGGCTAAATTATTAAACACTTACAATGGTATTTCGAATGAAAAAATAATGTGCCATGTCTTTTTTTTAGAATATACATAAATTTACATACCTTCTGATACTAAACACACAAAATTTCAATTAAAGCACGCGGAAATGTAATTTCTATACTTTCTTCAATCAACTAACTTCGATTATTTAAGAAAACAAAACAACTGCGTTTGTGAAACGTAACCATAATAATTGAACAAGGAGATCAAACATGTACCCATAGACAAAAGAGTGTATAAAAGAGGATCTACCTTTCAAGTGGCACAGATTAAATTTCGCTTCCAACCTTGTGAAAACTAGCCAATAGAATGAATTTAGCGACATAAGAAAATTTCCTAAGGCGGATATACATCGGTGTATAAAAATCGTGACAATAAGAGGATGACAATTAACTATTAGCCAATCAAAGCTTCCCCATTTATATTCGCAAAATCCTTGAAATAAATTGCATTAATACTGGTTGAACAAAAAAAGCTACGATCCTTGTTAGATATTAATTTCGAAGATAAGCAAAACTGTAAAATTATCAAAAACTTCAAACTAATAATTTACTCATAATTTATATTCATATAAATTCATTTATTCTAAGTACTAAGAACTTTTACATGTGCAAATCTTAAGCCTTTACTGCCGGTGGTAAAATTTTTGATCAGCCATGTTTGATAATATTCGAGGAGCTTTCAGAATATTAATCTTGTTATCTTAGTTGAAAGAAGAATACATGCGGTTGTACTTACTATAGACTATTTAAGTTATATATTTTTTGTATAAATGGAATTTAGAATTGAAATAAATGGACAATGGCTAAATTATTAAACACATACAATGGTATATCGAATGAAAAAATGATGTGCAATGTCATTTATTCTAGTATATATATATATAAATTTACATACCTTCTAGCATTAAACACACAAAATTTCAATTAAAGCACACGGAAAAGTAATTTCTACACTTTCTTCAATTCTTTAACTTCGATTATATTAGAAAACAAAACAACTTGAATTTGTGAAAAATGCACGTAACCATAATTATTTAACAAGGAGATCATACATCTCCCAAGAGGCACAGAATAAATCTCGCTACCAACCTTGTAAAAACTTATGAATTTGGGGTTTAAGTTGGTACCGTTAGTATACTCTTATCTATGTTATTTATCTATATCTATGCTGTTATCTATGATCTATATTGATTATAGGATATTTATGTTATTAATTTTATTCAAAATTATTGCACAAATTAATTATATCTGTAAAAGTAATAAATACTCACCGATGAATTTTGTTTTAATTATAAATACCGATTTGAATTTATTTTACGTTAGCCAACTGACAATTATCGATATATTGATTTTGGAGGGAACAATAATTCATGAAGTCATGTACCTAGGATCCGCGCGCAATCTCAGTGATAAAAATTGAGAGAAATGATACATAAAGTGATAAAAATGGAATACAGAACAAAATTGATTTTTTATTTAATATTGTTATTATCATTTCAATGTTATTAAACATTCTGTTATTATTAATTGATTTTATATTTGTATTTGCATATACATAAAATATTAAGGCAGTGGATTCCAACCTTTTTTAATAAAAAAAATTGTTGCGTCCCCCTTAATTTTTTCAACAGTTTAATTTATATAAATACTAAACTGCTATTAACAAACTACAATTTAATATGCAATATTATATAAAAATATGCATAAAATTTTTTTTTTTATTTTTTATTATCGTTCCAAAAATATTGGGTTATTTTCGGTAATAGGAAACAGATGTACACGTCCCTCTTAGAAAAGCCTGGCGCCCCCTAAGGGGACCCGTCCCACAGGTTGAAAACTGCTGCATTAAGATAAACATATATATTTATTATCTTTAAAAATACCTTTTTTATAATGTTTTATCAAATGATTTCGTTATGGTTACGTTTCGAAAATTTGATTAGACATATAGTATTCAGTATAAAGTATTCTAATAATATATACTATAGTAATAAAATTTCAAAAATTGTCCTTTGTAGATATTAACCCTTTCCACTCGTAAATTCCGAAATTTATATGGCGGCATCCGAATCGAAAGGGTTAATAACTCTTCTGTGTCAATGCATGACTATTTAGCAAAATTAGCTATATCATCGGCCTTCATGTAGAGACCAAATGGGATATATTAAATAAAGAATATATTTTTACACTGATATGTTTTAGTAAAAATGAATATCACTGCAAGTTGAATTTAATAGTTTGATTAATTAAAAGATACATTATGATACTAAAAAAAAATAGGACACAAAATATGTAAACAGGAAAGTATACGCTGATATGCAAAAATTACGCCTGAGAAGTTTGCAGAATCAGTAGATATAAGATCAGTTACAACTGATATAGATACCTTTATAATAAGTTGAATAGTAATCGCCAAATCACAAGAAATTTTATGTATCAAAATGATT